CAACGTTATTAGATAAGTGGTTTTATTTTGCCAGTAAATCGTGGAGATCTAAAAGTTACACTTCTCGTAATATGTAGACAGTAGCGGTGGCCGCAGTAGTAGACTCTTCGGTCTCCTGATCAGTCACCGTGCGCTGTGCGGGTTCGAGTCCCGTCCCAGGAGAAATTTTTCTTTTGGCTATGGAGAAAGTTACCTATTTCCTGGACTAATAAGAGCAGGTGACAGATGCCGCCTATCCGTATGCCGATCATCTATAAATCTGATAATCTTCAAAGCAGAGACCTTACATCATATGAAACCGTGCAAACCGCTGTACAGGCTAAAATTGCTGAATCAGTATGCACCATATGTCAGCTACATGTAATTATAACTCATTCTGATTTCAGAATAAGACTAAATGCTGTAATCCCGTAATCTATCTATCAATGAACCAGTGTAACTACTCAGCTTAGGAGTGATCTGGTGTCATCCATATGCATACGTTTTTTATATTGTAGATTAAAGGCTTGACACCCGACAGTAGTAAAAGTGGGTTAAGCCTCGGTTAAGCTCATTCGATGTTAAGCTGACTGGCAGAGAACCGCCCTGTTACTGCTGATCCCAAGAAACGAATACAAACATGCAGCGCTGGCGATTCTGCAGGTGGACAAAGACATATAAAAGGGGGAACCCTCACCCGACCTGTACAGGATTCTTACCAAAAGCCAGATTAGGTTGCGAGACGAGACCACAAACCAAGCAGTACATCAAGAACAAAGAAAATTTCTTGAAATGGGGGAATGGACAGTCAGAGCAAAGGCATGCAAAAAAATTCATCGAAAGACAACATGCTGCATTTACAGAAGACAAAAACGCTCATTGAACATTAATTTGTTTCTTCTTACGTACATTATATAATTATAAAAATGATAATAATTCTAGAAAATGGTGTCAAATAGGTCGACTCTGCACTTCCCACGCAACGCCGTCATCAGGTCATGCATGATTATGTTCAGCGCAAGTTAGACCCATTGAGAAAAAGACCAAGTCAGCAAAACAGGCCCATACACCTAATCCATAGGCATTTTTCCCTGCCGTACCGGTAGAACCATTCATCTGGCAACGCCGCATCTTGCCGATACCTGAGCACCTGACGCGGTACTGCGGCAACAATGTCAGTACGCATGAGACTGGCACACTCGCCGGTGTACCCAGAGGGCAGAAGGAGGGACGCGTATCGGAAACGTTTGTTCATCATTAAGTTTTGAGGGCAAATGTACAGGGAAATCAATGTTGTTTGAAATGTGTCTAACAGATGTGTAGAATTAACAAGGTTGGGAGCATATACCTGCATATGCGAACATCGAAAAATTGACATATATCCTTAACAACCCCGAACCCCCAATGCTTTTTCTGAAAACGATCAGGAGCTCTTAAAATGTCAAAAAAACGAACTTAGAGCGATTTATGCTTTTCGTTTTTTGAGCTGTAGGTCTTACTCCAATGCTAAAGTAAGAATTTTTATGGAATCCTATTAATAAAATATAATTTGAGAGTTATATAAAAATTACCAAACTAGTTATTTGACTTCATAAATGCTATAAAGTAAAGAATAGATAAAATTAATAATACAACTTCAAAAACAAGCTTTTATTTAGATGTTCATAAAAGAAAGATTACAAATGGTTTGCTCGATCGAAAGTATTTAAACGATAATCATCTCAAATTTTCAAATAAAAACGGGTTACGTTTTGATAGTAGGATGGATAAAGGCTTTAACATGCTTTTTATTTGAAAACTTGAGGAGGGGCTTCACTATCGTTTAAATATGTCCAATCGGAAAAAATATTTCTAATTTCTGGTTCATTTCATGAAAAGCTAAATAAAAGCTGGTTTTTGTATATGTTTGATTTATTTTACTTACTCAATACAACTATCGTATACGTCAGGGTTAATGAAATTTTTCTACAGCTTTATCAATCAATTGTAGAGTATGCTTTTTTGAATTATGCACGGTTAGCACTTCACTGACGATGTGCCTCACGTAGCTGCTTCCTTAACGGCACGATCTACGCACCACGTAACTGCAACTGTTTAAAAACCTGAACCGGATCAGATGTGGAGTGAGCAAAAGTTAGAGTAACTGCAAAGAAAAATTTCCAATCGGCAAACATTTAATAACAATCGATTGGAAATATTGATGAAGCTTTTTCATCGTATGTATGCTCACTCTAGCAATATCCGCTTCACAAATACACTCACCACGCCTATCCACAGAACTTCATGTTCCCACAAATGCTTCACATTTAATGCGGTCTATCTATATAGTTCACTAGCCCCTGAAATTGAATATTTGAGATTTGATAACTTTAAAAAACATATCAAGAATCTGCTTTTACAGTACCATAATTAAAAATACTTATCTTTCACTATTAAAGATAGTATTTATTCAGTTATCAGAGTAATTACATTAAATGTGTGTGATACTTTTATTATATCATGAGTCTTAGTGCTATGTATCTATTTTCTTCAAGTTTGTATTTATTTTTGAATGGGTTAAGTAGAAGAATAGCTTAACCTAAACCTCGCCCAAATAAAAAGATGTTTTTTTCTGTGACGAGAAAATAAAGTTACATTTCCTTTATATCAAAAGTACAATTATTGAATGTCCATTGCATGAATGACGCCCTCCTTAAGCTATTCGGTATACCAGTCAAATTTTCTTGTGTTGGAATTATATGTTTTTCTGTCATCACAACTCCCGTTGATGTACTTGGTCGCAAATCCGCTGATATTTCAGCACTACCACACGTTCTAAACACTTAATTAGCTATTTTTGTCCTGTGTGCTAGCGATTCATCAAAATACCCTTCAGCGACCGCCATGTTTCTTCAGTGTCATCAAGTCTCCCCCAGATGCAACTAAAAGTGTAGCAGACGATCTATGAAATGGATGACCTGTATATGAGTTAGCATTTTCAAGTTGAAGTAAATTAGCCACTGTTTCGGGAACCTTATAAAACTGGTTTTTACCCACAACCCGATTGATACATTTTCCATTGTGATATCCATAAAACAGGCGGCAATCCTTTGCTGCATCTTTTATACAGTTTTATTAGGTGTAAAGTATGCTTTCTTGATTTACGCACTGTTAGAGCTTAACTGACGATGTGCCTCACGTAGCTATTTCCTTAGCGGCACGATCTACGCGCCACGTAACTGCAACTGTTCAGAAACCCTAACCGGATCAGACGTGGCGTAAGCAAAGATTAGAGTAACGGCAAAGACGGTGTTCAATATAGATCCCCAGATAACAGGCGCGGATCGGCGGACAACATGTCTGTCTGCCTGCGAGTCACGGAGCGTTCTCTTCTGAAGGATTAACCAAAGGACTCCTCGTTAAGGAGCTGCTAATGCGCACGGAATAGGGATCGTCAGTTGATAGGGTTGCTGTCTGACAAGTGATGAGCTTAACCCACTTCTACTGCCGCTGTCGTCATTTTAATCCGAGGAATAAACAAAGTATGCGTGTCAGTGACACGAGACCGGTGCTAAGCTGGGTACTTAGTATTGATATGTGTAGAGCAAATTACTGGCAATTAGGTAATCCAAAAAATATCTAGCCTTCTAAAACCAGTAAGACAGTACCTTTCATGCTAGTAATTGAGTGCCTCAGAATGATAATTCGGTAAAAACCAAAAAGGTAATTTTACAGGAGATGAAAATAACATGTTTAATAAAACTAGTTGTACTTTTACCTGCAAATTATTATTTAAATGCTTATTGAAAGTGCTTTGAAACATTTTTTGAGCTCATATTTTTTTTAATATTACTTGTGTTAGAAAAAAATAATAAATAAAAGAAGTTCCTTTAAGTTTTGAAGTTTTTTTGGGTTAACCTGAAGGATTGTAGTGTAGAGTTGAGCTACATTCCATTCCTTTAAAGCAAGTAAATCTGCGTTAGATTTAAATGCAATGAAAGTTTCAATATTGTGGCATACAGAAACGGTGATTTTTCTATCCTCATATTTAAAACTTTTGTATTTTGAGACGGTAAAGTTTTTTATGCTTTTTTTAAAAAAAGATTGGAAATATGAACGAAAGTCCCCTATCATCCTTGGCAGTACATTGACAACAGTAAAAGTTTTAGAGGTTCTTGCAACTTTTGAATACCATTCTTCCGGCAAGTAAAGGTATGTGACTTTGCGTTTTTCCTTTTCAATGAGAGCAAATTTGCGTTCGCATGGTAGACACGAATGACCTCTTTCAGGAAATCGATGGTAGATCATTTTAAATCTTCCAATGGCAACCAACGAAGATAACATCTGAACAACAACCATGTTTTTATTTTGCCCAACACAGTTATCAGTGAATAAGTACAAGGTCTCAACTGAAGGATCAACAGCATTGTCTACATAATGTTTGAAAAAAGATACTGTCTCATTTGCACCTTTTTTTTATTCGACTTCATTGTATATGTACATATAAGAATGGCCCGTTTTTGCCGAGTAAAAACACTGGTTATAAACCCAAAGCTGCCTTTTATAAAAAATATCACCTATTGGAAGTACAGGTACTGGCAAATTTTGTTAATAGTCAAAGCTAATAACATCCATTTATTCGTCCGTTTTAGCTTGTACACTGAACCGCTTAATGTCGTCGTAAAATTTCTGCGCTTTGGCTTGATGTAGAGAGTGTTCTTGATTCAACCGAGATTTTTCTTCTGGATTTTCCGCCGCATCTATTTGATTCTTGAATCTGTCACATGCATTGCACACATCCGTTTTAAGTTTTCCAAATGAAAGATTAAATTTGGTGTTAAATATGTGTAGATAAAAATCATAGTTGATTTTAAATTTTGTTTTGTTATCAGCCTTCCACTGCTGATATTTCTCCGGTTCGTACTTTTCCACGTACAGCTGATGCATTTTCATCACACTTAAGTCGGGCGAAAGAAACTTTCTTTGACTGCTATTTCTGGTGTAGTGCGAGATGCGAATAGGAAATGAATTTATATGTGATTCAATTTGTCAGATTAGAGCTTCTGGTTTTTTAAGTACCCTGGATCGTTCAGATAAACCCCTTTTGTCGGTCGGAGGACCCGAGTTACTTTTTTTAGCTTGCCCAATTCGATCAATCCTACCAAACTTTATACCATAAAGCCCCGCTAAAGCTTTTTTGCAAACCATTAGTTCTCGTCCAGCTGCCAATTTTGATCTACAATACAAAACATTGTTAAATACCTACTATCAGTAAATAAGTATTTGCATAACAACTAACCTTATAATGAAAGGATGAGTTTCGTTTTGATGTTTGAATTAACTCAGCATCAGTTAAAATATCTTCAATCGGATGGCCCTTTCCATAAAGTCGCTTTTTCATAATATCTGGTCGCCTTCGAAATAAATAAAGAAAATTAAAAAGTTACCTATTTGTTTCTTTTGTTACTTATATTCATGTACCTTGCAACATGTCTCACTGTTATTAATCCAAAAAGATAGGAATCTTGCACATTTTTATCAGCCAAGTTGTTAAATTTATCAAGAATGTTTGCTTTTTCTTCGACTGAGATTTTACTTGTACATCTATTTTTGCAGTCACGTTCATAACCCCGCCTTGCAGGCATATTTTTTCCAGATTTAGATGTGTATGCTAGTCCTTTATTGAGGTTAGATTTCCTTTGAACACTTTTCCAGAGATGTTTATTTTTTTTTCTTTTTCTTGTTTTATTCTCCTCAACTTCATTATTACTATTAGCACTATCACTATAATCTGGGTCTAAATCATTCCTCATTACCTCGGTATCACTGTCACTAGACATCATGAAAATGCTAGCAAATAATAGTCAACCAGTGAAAAACAACAACGCAGTAACAAACACTCTAGAGACTTCACTTAGAATGAAAACTGGGTAAAAACCGGATATACCGAGTTTTCATTCTCAATGACAAAAATTGATATATATTTGCGCCATCTACTGGTAAAACTACTAAGGGGATATGTTCAATTCTCACTCTAATACGTGTATTAGGTCTACATGATTCGAAGCGCGCAAAAACCAGATTTTCGTAAAAAGTGGTTTTTACCGACTTATCATTCTGGGGTATTCAATTGTAGTGAAAAAATAAGCTTTTTTTAAATTTCGTTCTAACTTGTGAGTTAGAGGTAAACAAGCTAAACCCGAGTGTCAAAACATAGGATTCTTCTTCAGCGGATTTAATTATACTGAGTGACAAAAAAGGTAAGCACCTAAGTATGTTTATTAGAATTCAAGAATTTTTTACATATCGATTTATCTTGTCATGAACAAGTGGTAAAATGGTCACATTCTTCTGTTAAGTGTTTGTGGTAGCTGCGTGTACTGTTTGGTAAACATTGAGTTTTCGTACATTTACGACGCCCGACGCTGTATTCAGGAAGTAGTGGAGCCTAATCTTATTCCATACCTAAGCACCATCCAAAACCCGATTTTTCCGCAAGACGATGCCAGACTGCATGTTGCCAGAGTCTTCATGGATCAACATCGCTTCAACCGTTTACCTTGGCCACCCCGATCGTCGGACATATCTCCAATTGAACATATCTGGGACAAGATATGTCGCAGCCTCTTGAATTTGCAACGCCCTCCACAGACTTCAGCAGCTCTTACTCACGAAGTTGCAATAGCCTGGAATGAGATACCCCAACAGGATATGGACCACCTTATCAGCACGATGCCTAGGCGTGTCAACGAGTGCATAAGAAATCGTGTATCCTCAACACATTATTGAGCCAGCTTCTGAAGTCAGTTGACGAATCAAGCTGAAAAATTAATCATTTTACTAGTAAGGGACACTGAACATATATGCCAAACATTATTAAAATCGGATGAACATACTTAGGTGTTTACCCTTTTTTTTGTCACTCAGTATATGTTAAGACATATATACTTAAAACTTCCATCAACACTTTCATTTTTATTCTAGTACTTGATTGTTTATTCAAAGCTGGAAATTTTGACCTTTTGGTCTAGAATTCAACCATTTTTGTATACTAAGCTTAAATGTTTTCCTACTTCAAAATCAATAACAAAAGAACAATGAATACAAAACGTATTCTGCTTTTCATAAAGGTCCCTCTTTTCTACTAATTTTGTCAACGTCGATCTGGAAGGCTGCTAAAGTTGCCTTGCCCCACATAGTCAAAATGTATTCATACTAATAAAATATTGGGTGAAGCATATACTCTACTATATTCTTTTGAAATTTTTTGTCCGCACTGCATGTAGAAATTCTCGACTAGTGGACCACGCTCATAATTTCAATGTTTATTTTTGTATTTTTTCATATTTCCACAATAAATGAAAATATTTTGTATGAAACGCGTGAATGGATGACGGTAAAAAAACGCGTTTGTTTCATTTTATTCAACTCATACCTGAATCTGTATAATATATTTTACAACATTGTTTTTGGGTCCATGTATGTAGGGAGAGAGACTAAACCTGAAAGCTGTGGATAGCCATGTCAGAGGAATACACAATGAAACGTTATTTTTTATTTTATTATTATACTATGCAAAGCGGTAATATTGTTCTGTTCATGCAAATTTACTGCTTACAAAAAAAGGATTTACGTAAAAAGGCTCATGATGAAATTCGCATATTTTGCATTGTGTCGGTATAAAACATTTGAGCTACAAATATCGGAGTATGATTCAATGGCATGATGAATGTAATAAACGAACTCATCAGTGCTTTGGTAGAGTTTTTAAAATGTGTCAGTGTCTCTCTTATGACATCAATGTCAATGCCGTGAGCCTCATCCAATGAGAGTCACGTTTATAAGCCATCCTTGAGAAATTGATCTATACTTGGAACCTCAACGAACAAGAAGATTTGAAAGTTGAATTTCACAACAAGCTGTAATAGATATCATCACAGGCTGTCATCGACGTCAGAAAGATCCTTTGCTGGCCTCATCTATTCCAGGCATTTTGATAAAGTTTGTTCAGTTTGTTTTGTTTTTGTGCCAAAAAGTACTAAACAATGATAGTAGGTAGATTGTTTGTTCAATCATGAAATAGTCCTACAAACTCATGTAATCAGTCTCTTTGATAAATCTTAGTGCTCAAAGGTTTCAAAATGTCATTTTTACATACAGGGTGGCCCATAAGTCCTTTGAGCTGGAAAAAAAGGAATAAAACCAAACTAGTTACATTACGAAGAATTATTATATTTTGTTATCATCTTTATTGAATGGGAATTATGTTTTAAAAATCACATCGTCTAAATGCAATCCATTACGATCACGGCACTCATATAAACGACGTCTAAAATTGTCGATGACTGCGCGGCAAGTCAACACTGTAATGCTTGCCATTTCTCTTCGGATATTTTCTTTCAGGACATCAACTGATCGCGGAGTGGTGTCGTACACTTTACTCTTGAGGTAGCCCCATAAAAAGAAGTCCATTGGGGTTAAATCTGTACTACGTGGTGGCCAGGAAATGTCTCCTCTTCGAGAAATTACTTTGCTGAGAAAAAGTTAACAGACGACGGGCATAGAAGTGTTGGAGGTGTGGGCAGTTGCTCCGTCCTGTTGAAACCAAGTCTGCGTATTATAGCCTGGAAAATTCTGCAACGCTGGTGTCAAAAACTATTCTATCATTGCTACATACCGCTCCGAAGTAACAGTTAATGCGCGACCTCTGTCGTCCTACGATGCCATGCGCTGACATAGCAGCCCAAACTGTAACTTTAGGGCTGTGTAAGGGCTTCTGATGCTTACGCCTTGGATTTTCGGGGCTCCAATAACGGCAATTTTGTTTATTTACATGCCCGTTTAACACGTTCAGTGCGAATAGCGTCAAAAGACGCCCTCCGCTCCTGTGGTGGGAGGCGAACGGCGTCTTTCGACGCTCTCTGCCGGCTTCCAAAAAAGTATTTCAGTTTCTGAGGTGGGTATCCTCATCCCAGTTCGCAGTCAATGTGTTAAATGGAAGTGAGCCTCGTCCGAGAACAACACATTATTGAGCGAAGAAAATCGATTCAACATTTCATTCGCAAAGTTTAGTCTCTGAATAGCGTCATTATCTTTTAATTCCTGCACTAACTGAATTTTGTAAGCGTGCAGACGTAAATCTTTCCTTAAAATCCGCTTCTGGGTACGTTTAGTGCACTGGAACGCTTACGAGTAGACTGGGTAGGATTTTGACGAACAGACTGTGCCACAATGTTGATGTTTTCTTCAATACGAGTTGTCCTTGGTCGACCCCACCGCTGTTTATCTAACGTCGAACCAGTCTCTTCGAACTTAGCAACCCAGTTCTTAATCGTTTGAGCTGTTGGACACTTTGTAAAATTGTGTAAATTGTGGTATTCTCGATATTTACGCCGCGCAATGGTTTCCGAATCATTATTTTGATAAAACGCGCGCACACAAAAAGTACGATCCGCTCCAGTGAAACACTCCATGGCGACTGAATTCCCAGGCACTGAAGATACTGCCCCCACCTCGCCCGCGCCGCTCACGCTCACCCGTTAAATTTTATTCAAATTTGAAATTTCAAAGGACTTATGGACCACCCTGTACAATGCTATTCAATAGGATCTTCTCTACTTATTTTTTAAATGGGTAAACGTTAAAATAGCAATTGAAAAATTCAACATGGCGCCTAGTCACCATCCTTAAACATTTTTTAACTGGAGGGTCAAACTCAACAACTAATCGTCAAAAGGTTATGGTCTGCAGTAATACATGGCATATCCTGTTTAATAATATTCGACAGGTTTTGTCCATTTCTTCAATGGAGTGCTTCATATTACATAAGTCAGCAGTATTTCTATCGAAGAATACTATCTCAATATAAAAATATGAATAACAAAAATTTACTCACACAACACAAATATAAGACACCTAATAAAAACATTATGAAAATACCAAAGCCGAACAAAGATGTAATGCAAAGATCCTTTGCATTTCTTGGTCCTAGATCTTATAATATGATACTGCAGGACTTGAAGCAAGTTAACTCCTTAGAGTTATTCAAAGTAAACTAGACTGGATCAAAAAATTGCCAACAACAAAAGTGCATCAATATGTTGACGCAAAACATACTTACTATATAAAAGACAATACGTGAGGATTCATAACTGAAAACTCATACTGAGTGTCCCAAAAGTTTAAGCTTTTATCTAGATATGTAGTTAATATAAAGAACAAATAAGTTAATAAGAATGTACGTTTCATTGTGGTTACATGATGTTGAGTGTATATGATATATCAATCTTTTGTATGGGTTTATACTATTGTAACAGTGATTGGGTAAATGATTAGACCTGATACATTATAGAAATCGTTTTTGTCTTTGAC